CTTCATTAGAGTATATCCCTCTGGTAGAGTACCCTAAGATATTTCATTATATACTATATCCCTTTGAAGACAACCATAAGATATTTTATTATATAGTATATCCCGTGGTATATTGCCATAACATATTTTATTATACAGTATATATCGTGGTAGACTACCATAAGATATTTTATTATACAGATGTATCCCATGGTAGACTATCATAAGATATTTTATTATACAGATGTATCCCGTGGTAGACTATCATAAGATATTTCATTATTTAGTATATCTCTTTGTAGACAACCATAGCATATTTTATTATATAGTATATTCCATGGTATATTGCCATAACATATTTTATTATATAGTATATCTCGTGGTAGATATCTCTTATATCTCGTATAAGATATCTTATTATATAGTATAAACCGTGGTAGACTACTATAAGATATTTTATTATACAGTATATCCCGTGGTAGACAACCATAACATATTTTATTAAATAGTATATCCTGTGGTAGAATACCTTAAGATATTTTATTATACAGTGTATCTTGTGGTAGACTACCATAAGATATTTTATTATATAGTACATCCCGTGGTAGACTGCCATAATATATTTTATTATATAGTAAGTATATCCCTTTGTAGACTACCATAAGATATTTTATTATACAGTATATCCCCGCAGCGGATTACCAAAAATATCCACTACATATCATTGTGAAATAACATCTAAACTTGAAACTAATCAATTTTACATTTCATTGTCAATAATTACAGAATTAACAGAACGATGTATAACCTTACAAATCAACTGGCTAGCTTAAAGTAGTAGTTGTAACCAGGTGAAATATGAACAATTATTAAATTCAAAGATATCCGCCGGAAAACTGAATCAAAGCTTTTCAGATTGAGTTTTTTTAAATTTTATCATCATGCTAAGAATAAACTGAAAATTTGTTTTTCGCTAGCCAGCTAATTTTTACGAACCTCTTAACATCAACCATAATTTTGATTAAAATTTACTGGTAAGTAAGTGTTTGATTTTCTTTAGTTTTAATACGTAACTCGTCTTTAATAAACTAACAGTGTTAAGTGTTTCCACCAATCAAATTTATCAAAACAAAATAACTTTTGGTTTTGTTATATCACCTTTATGATGTCGTGATTCAACACAACAAGAAAAGTTTTAAACAACTCAGATATTTTAATGAACCCGTTCACTCGTGTTAATGTTAGGAATATATACAGCCAAAAGAGGTCGCTGGGAGACGGGGTTGGTGGTGTTAAAAAACTAACGCATTTGTTTGTTGTTTGTTATTAAGCACAAAGCTACACAAAAGGTTATCTATGCTCTGCCCACCACGGGTATCGAAACCCGGTTTCTATTAGTATAAGATAAGTCTGCAGACATACCACTGAGCCACTGGGGGGCAAGCATTTGTTTAGAAGACGTACTTTTTTTAAACATATAACATCATATTCAAAAGAAGCTTTCAATAATGTATGAGAGCACACAAATTTCAGTATGGTTACAAATATAGATATTAGTTAGTAAATAATAGTTTGGTGTAATCTAGATCCGGCGTAGTATTTAAGTTGGAAGTAATAAAACATTCCTTGAGTACTATATATTGTGCTTAGCATATGCAATTCAATTTAATTCTTATGTTCATGTTATACTCCTTTTGTAATACGAAACTTACTGGTTTGATTCGTGAATTGATAAAAGGCTTTGAAACCTGTTCCGTCGAAGCGACTGTTAGATTTGAACGTGACCCGGAAAAAATCGCTCTCGGATTCAATAGTCTTCGGCTTATTCAAGCCACAGTGGCGGGGAAATTTAGAGGCAGTAGACCGCTTATTGGAGAACTCCACATAATCACTTGCAGTGTCTGCTGAGCAGCTAAAGTTGGAGAAAAAAACAGAAAAATTCCAATTAAAACCAGCTAATCAAATCTGCACACCTGAGTCTGTATATTCATTACTTAGATCAGTTCTGAACATTGGTATAGAATATTCGATCGTTGTCTTAGTTAATGGAGCAGATTACCCCTCGACTCATAATTCTGTAACTGGATTAAAGTAATCAGTCCGTGTCTTAATAATAAAGGAATTAATTAAATCAACCAACTGACGGTTCAGATTCAAAAGTATGTTTTGTTTTTAGTAAAAGAATTTTAAGCTACACGAAACTATTTTGAAAAGTAAATTAGTAATTTTTATTTGTAGTCTTTATTTCCAGCACTGTCACATTTTTGTCAGTTTTAAACTACAGTAAACTGTTTTCAAAAGTGAATAAAATTATTAGCAGTTTTTCTTTTTCGTCTTTATTTTATAGTATTGTAAAGATTCTGTTAGGGGTGATTGACTTGTATGTGTTTGTTCCTTTGGCATTTTTTAATTAAGAAATCTCTCTATCTATCTATATAAGTACATACATACAGGTATATAGATATAACTATTCACTTCTCGAAACACTAAAATAATTAACATGATAATTTTATAACTTCACATATATGGTTTAAAACTTCATGAGGAACCTTCTGGGTAAAAAAAACAAACAAAAAAAACACTTTATAAATAATGATCAAATATAAAAATAATCCCAAATACCTTAAAATATAAAGATAGAGCAGGATAAGAAGAGGATAAACCTGGAAAAGTTTTAAGAAAAATTAAAAGAGGTAAAAATAAGCAAATGAAAGAGCACATGAATAACATATTTAATAGAACAAGAAAGAAATTTGCGGATATATTGTGTTAAAACATTAAAACAATTTAGAACAAACACATTTCTGTGTTAAAGAACGATTTTTTGAAGTTAAGCACAAAGCTATCTGTGCTCTGCCCACCACGGGTATCGCAACTCGGTTTCTAGCGTTGGAAGTCCGCAGACATACCGCTATGCCACTGGGGGGCATGTTAAAGAAGAAGTAGAGATAAACCTCCTCTCACTTATCCCCCTCCCCCAGAAGGTTTTCTCGCTAAAGGTGATCATGGGGTAACAACACAGAAAACACAGGTAAGTGTAAAGAAATGGACATACGGAGTTACTCCCTCTACATCGAAGTGAGAAAAGGTGATCTGGATTTTCTCCGTTTTTCTTCCTATGAAGAAGTAGTGACATTCTGTGTTTCGAGGGTACAATCCAGGGTAGTTGGGAGAAGTCAAAGTTCCATTGGTCTGCTCCAGGCTATTGAAGACGAAGCCACATACTATTGATGATATGATATACCATATTATTAGGTAGGTTTTGACCGGATTCACATATCTAAGTACATCACTCGAAGTTGAATATCTTGGAAGAGATACAGAAATCGTTTAGTTGCGATTATGTCCACTTTAACGTTTGTTGACTATCTAGTTCATCTTAAATATTTTGTCATAGATAAAATTCATGTTATATAGAAAAAAGATACATGTTTTATCTATGAGCGTGCACATGTTTGTCCTTTGTATAAATCGATTTGATTTCTTATGTAAGTCAAAGAGATTAGATTTCTAGTAGCTCCGAAAGGATAGTTCTAATCTCAGGTATTTGCCAACTCTTCAGTTTACAGGCATGGCGGGACGTATGAAACATTTGGAGGGGGGGGGGTGAATGCAGTCAACAGTGAATAAAAAATACCTGTCAATCAATAAAAATGTTTTAAAATTTTATTTAATAATTTCAGACAATAACAAGTGCTGTATTGTACATACAAAAACATACAAAATACAAATCAAATTGTCTACTAAAAACTTATAAGTCATACAAATAATAAGAATGCTTCATATAATAACTACCATACACAATATAAAAATACTAAAAAAGTTACTAACAGCATAATGATTAGAATTTGCTAAATAACTGAAGCTTCATTTCATTTCGACTGGCAAAGTTAACCGAATATACAGGTAAAGACTAAATAAAAAATTGGGAAGCAGAATGATATTCGGGTCCCCCCAATTTCATTATTTAAGGGAAATGTGCCCCATCCCCCGATTCCAAAGTCTATGGTTTATTTAACCAAGCGTCTCATTCTGGTATTTCTTGTTACATTATGTTTTTGAGCGTCGTATTTGTACTAATACTCCAGACTTTCTTTAGACTCACTCTGGATAAATTGATCAAATCCTTAAAAAATATTAAGCTTTCTTCTTGACAAGAATGAGTTTAAAGCAACTCTTTGAACGTGTGTCTACACGTTCATAGTCAATGGTTATAAGTAGATAATAAAATGTAAAATGATTCCTATTTCAAAGTTACAAATACTGTTTCAAAAGGTAATATCTAATGTTACATTTGTTTTCGTCACTCTGATATGGCTTTTCTCTTAAAGTTCTGAAAATTTAAATTGAATCAAAGTTACCACAGTGTTAACTATCAAATAGAGTTGATGTGTTAAGTTTAAATGTTCTTTCTTCTTCTTTTTTTTTTTGGCCCCAGCCCATAAAGTCTTGAAGGTCAATTTTCATACAACCTAGGAACCTCTTTTTCAAAAGTTAATGTAACATTGGATATCGCATTTTGAAATAGTATCCCTGACATTGACCTTAAAGTATTGAAGGTCAGTTTTTATACGACCTAGGAACCTCTTTATTCAAAATTGTTTGTTTGTAATTAAGTACAAAGCTACACAATGGACTATCTATGCTATGCCCACCATGGGTATCGAAACCCGGATTCTAGCGTTGTAAGTCCGCAGACATGCCGCTGTGCTACTGGGGGCCTTTATTCAAAAGTTAATGTAACACTGGATATCGCATTTTTGAAATAGTATCCCTGACATCGACCTTAAAGTATTGAAGGTCAATTTTTATACGACCCAGGAACCTCTTTCTTCCAAAGTTGCCCCCCAGTAGCACAGCGGCATGTCTGCGGACTTACAACGCTAGAAACCGGGTTTCGATACCCGTGGTGGGCAGATCACAGATAGCCCATTGTGTAGCTTTGCGAAAAAAATCAGACAAACA